CTTCCTTCCTTCCTTCCTTCCTTCCTTCCTTCCTTCCTTCCTTCCTTTCTTTCCTTTTTCCTTCCTACCTTCCTTTTTCACCTTTTTCCTTCCTTCCCTCCTTCCTTCCCTCCTTCCTTCCTTCCTTCCTTCCTTCCTTCCTTCCTTCCTTCCTTCCCTTCTTCCTTCATACCTTCCTTTCTTTCTTTTTGTTTGTTTGAGACAGGGTTTCTACGTATAACAGCCGTGGCTGTCCTGGAACTCACTCTGTAGACCAGGCTGGCCTCAAACTCAAGAGATCCACCTGCCTCTGCCTCTGTAGCTCTGGGATTAAAGGTCTGCGTCACCACTGCCTGGCTCTCATTTCCTTCTTCACTTTCTTTTTCTTTTCCCGAGACAGGGTTTCTCTGTGTAGCCTTGACTGTCCTGGACTTGCTCTGTAGACCAGGCTGGCCTCCAACTCACAGAGATCCGCCTGCCTCTGCCTCGCGCAGTGCTGGGATCTCAGGCATGTGTGTGCTACCATGACCGGCTTATTTATTATGTTTTAATCTTTGAAAAATCCTACATGCATAAAATGAATAAACTGTAAACAATTAAAAAAATTATAACTATATAAAGGAAAAATCATGCATGCTATTGCTCACACCCACTCCCTTTCCTCCGAATTACTGACACCATTTTTGGAGCGGAAGGAAAGGCTGCTTCACTGATGACTGTACAGAGAAGCAGAGTCCGGGCTGACAAACTCCAGTCAGCTAAGGGCAGCTCGTAGACGCGGACTCGGATACCTGGCTTTCATCGTTCTTCCGGCTCAAAGGCGGTGGTGAGGTAGTCCTTCGGAACAATCCCAACGAGGCTGTTCAGTTCTCCTACCCACCAGCCATACATGTTGTACTCCTGAAAAAGGGAGAATAATACAGTCGTGGTTGGATACAGGCTTCCGCAAGCCTCATACGGTGACTGGAGGGTGGGGGCAGGGAGGGGAGTCTGGGGCTGCTTTCTTTGCTGGCTGCCAGAATGAACAGTGAGCAGCCTTTGCACGTTCATCTATATAACCGTCATCTAGAGGAGAAAAACAACTGTGCTCAATTCGCCGTCACCCTGTCGGCACAGTGACTGAGCATGCTTGATTTGCATACTTGATGCCACCGCTGAACCTAACAGCTTAAATTTTTTTAAAATTTTTAATTACGTGTATTTTTGTATCAGTCTTTCTCTCTGTGTGTGTTTAAGAGAGAGAGAGAGAGACAGACAGACAGACAGTCAGACAGACAGACAGACAGACAGACAGACATATAGTCTATGGAGGCCACATAAGGGCTTTGGATCCTCCAGGCTTTCGTGACACGATGATGGTTAGGGCTTCTCCAAAAAGGGCTGTCAGTGCTCCTAACCACTGAGCCCTCTCTGCAGCCGCTAACAGCTGTGTTTTTTTAGGGTAGGGATTCACTGTGCAGTCCAGGTTGGCCTTCACCTTTCTCTCTTCCTGCCTCAGCCTCCTGAGGGCTGGAATGGCAGGTGTGTACCATTGCGCCAAATGCTTTTCATTTTAAGAATCTTTTTTTTTTTCTTTCTTTCACTTTTTCTCTCCTCCTTCTCCTTTTTTTTCTTTTGAGACAGGGTCTTACTATGTAGCCCTGGCTGACCTGGAACTCACTACATAGACCATTACAGGTTTAAAGGCATGAATCACTGTCATCTTTTCTTCTTTAAATATAATTTTAATTTTCTTTTTGTGTGTGTGTGTGTGTATGTGTGTGTGTGTTTTTGAGACAAGGCTTCTTTGTGTAAAATTTTATTATTTTTTTAAGACTGGTTTTTATTATTTTTAATTGTGTGTGTGTATGTGTGATATTTGCGAGTACAGGTGCCCTTGGGGGAATCTTCCTAGGGCTAGAGTTAAAGGTGGTTATGAGCCACCTGATATGAGCGTTGGGAATCAAACTCAGTTCTGGAAGAGTGGTATGTGCTCTGAGATGCTGAGCCATCTTTCTAGATTCCTCCCCTTTAACCAAGTGAATGCCATGGCTTCTTCAGAGAAGGTCGCACACTAACTAAAATGCCAGGACACTAAAGATGTTCAGGGTGACAGGTCATAGTTCAAATCAATAGTATCCATCAGGCATCTTCCTCGTGCAAAGTGCTATCTGGATTTCCTCAAGGGACAGAATGATGAGTCAGAACACTGCTTGCTCCCTGGGAGTTTATGGGATAGAGTAATGGGCTTTGGAGTCAGATAGGCTGGGAGCAAATCCTCAGTTGGCCATTTAGCAGCCATGTGGCCTCAGGCTCTCCTAGTTTCGCCTCCCTGATCTGCAGGAGTGGGGCTGTATCTCCCTCTCCATGCTGTGAGGATGGGAGAGATGCCGTAGAAATCGGACAATAGAAAGCGCTCTATGGACGGTGTTCTGAGCCTTAGATTCCTTTCCTAGAAGAGGTAGGAAGTGGAAGGTAGAGGTGGGGAGGAATGTCAATAAGGACAGGCAGGTAATACAGGACCAGAGAGCAGCAAAGAAGAAAAGGGCTGAGAGTGCTTTATCTCAACTGGGTGTGGGGGAATGTGATGCTACGCATATTTTGCAAAGCTGGTGGCTGAGGTTCAGGAGAAAATACATCAGTCTGGGGGCATGTTTAACTCACAGGCTTCCCAGCCTTCACTGGTGATGTTTTTGCATAATATTTTTGTTGATTATTTGGGAATTTCACATAATGCACCCCGATCACACTCATTTCCCAGTCCTCCCAGGTCTTCCCCAACCCTTGTGACGCTCTCCAAAAAGCCCCCCACCCCCCAGACCCACAAATCCAATAAGTGTTGCCTATAGAATCACTGCAGCATGGTCAAACTCCCAGCAGCCAGCCCCTTAAAGGAAACTGAGCCCTTTCTCACTTGCACCCCACCTCCAGAAGCCATCAACTGTGGAGAGCTACACCTCAGGGTCCTCATCACAATTTTTAAGACTTTTCTTCGATGGCTTCCTGTCTAGGCTGTTACTTTTCTTTTATTTTTATTTTAGGATGGGGACAGGGTGGGGTGGTAGTAGGGGTTGTCACAGAAGGTTTCTCCGGCTCTCTTTCTCAGCTGTGACTCTGCAGTCATTATTTTGCAGATACCACTGGAAAAGCAGCTTCCTGTCTTTTATAGCCAGCGGGAGCAGGCGCCATGGATTTCCGAGTGGTGTTGCCTGTGCCATGACAGCTTCGTCTCGGGTGGCAGTGCAGGCCAGGGACAGCAACATGGCCTCAGCACACCCTTGTCTTGCCATGATGAGGCCCCTGTGATCCTGTTCTGTTCGGTGCCTGGTGCTGCCATCGAACTTCTTAGCAAAACGGAACTCTCCCAGGCTACCCCCACAGGCCACAGGCTGTCTCGTGCTTGGAGCCTTTCTTCCACTTTTATAGCCTCCGTTTCTCCGCTCTAAGCAGCCTTCAGATTTCAATTCCCGAGTTACACGCCCTGAGACAAATCCCCCGCCACTCTGACTGTGTCTGAGGGCCCGGCCCCATTGTCTAGAGTCCAGTACCCTGTGCTTCCCCAGAAAAAGAATTCGCCATATTGCCTTTGTCTCAGTGCTTATCGTTAGATGGGAAGGTTCTCTTTCTCTTTTTACTCTTCAGACAGGCTTTTGTGTAGCCCAGCCTGGCCTTGAACTCCTGGTCCTCCAGCCTCCTGAGTCCTGGGACTACAGATGTTAACGACCACATCTGGCTTAGATATAGTCTAACTTCATTCTGTTGCTGAGATAAAATACTCTAACCAAGAGCAACTGGGGGGGGGGCGCTGAACAGCTAGTTTAGCGGTTAAGAGCACTCACTGCTCTTCCAGATGGACCTGGGTTCAATTCCCGGCACCCACATGGGTGGGTGCTCACAACTGTAACTCCAGGATCCAATACCCCCACACAGGTATGTAGACAGGCAAAACATCAATACACAAAAAATAAAAATAAATAAATTATTTTTAAAAAGCAACTTAGGGCAGTGTGGGGGTTGACTGAGAATGTCCCCCCCTGAAAACTCCTATATTTGCATGATAAACTGAGAAGCATTAGAAGGCGTGGCCTTGTTGGAGGAAGTGCATCACTGGGAGTAGGCTTTGAGGTTTCAAAAGCCTACAACCAGGCCCAGTCTCTCTCTCTTTCTGCTGGCAGATCAGGATGTAAACCTTTCAGCTCCAGCTCCAGAGCCCTGCTTGTCTCACTTCCTGCCACGATGCTCATGGACTAGCCCTTCGAAACTGTATGCCCCTAATTAAATGCTTTCTTTACAAGAGTGGTCTTGGCCATGGCGTCTCTTCTCAGCGATAGAACGGTAACTAAGGCAAGGATAAAAGGGTCTATTTCATCTTACACCTTCGGGTTAAGGTTCACGATTGTGAGAAGTCAGGACAGGGACTCAAGGCTGGAGCTATGGAGGAGTGCTGCTTGCTGGCTCACTGACGGTAGCTAGCTTTCTTATACAGTCCAGGAACACTGCCTGTGGATGGTACCCTCCTATGCCAACTAAGACCATCAAAACAGGGCTGGAGAGATGGCCCAGTGGTTAACAGCACTGGCTGTCCTTCCAGAAGACTCAGGTTTGACTCCTAGCACCGACATGGTGGCTCACAACTGTCCATAACTCCAGTTCCAAGAGATCCAACACCCTCTTCTGACCTCTGCAGGCACCAGACATACATGCAGGCAAATCACTTATACACATAAAAAAAGTGCTATGAAGATAATCTATCCTAGATATGACCACAGACCAACCTGATAAACCTGAAAATTATTCAGAGCTGGGCATGGTGGTACATGTCTATAATCCCAGCACTCGAGGAGGTAAAGGTAGTCAGATTGCTGTGAGTTCAAGGCCAGCCTGGACTACAAAGTGAGTCCAGGACAGCCAAGGATACACAGAGAAACCCTGTCTCGAAAACTCAAGAGAAAAAAAAAAAAAGAAAAAGAAAATGATTCAATTCAGACTCACCCTGCCAGGTAGGTCTAGGCTATGTCAAGTTCATAGTTAATGCTGATGGGGACAGATGGGAAGTTTCAAGTGCTGGCCTTTGTTGGTTTTGTTTATTGTTGAACTCTCGGCAGTGAGCACAGAGTGGGTGAGGCCACGGGGACAATAAGGATTCGCACTCTCAACTGACTGAATCTAAGCTTGATACTCTCTCCCCAGTGATTAAACTGGTTGTGGCAGAAAGGGGCCAACTGCCTTTGGAGACAGTGGTCCCATCCCAAATGGCTTCTTACCTCCTAAGCAAAGTCTCAGATGCTACAGATGTGAGACAGTGACTACTGAGCCGAGCCTTTAAGGACTTTTTTGTTATCTTTTGGTTTCTCACTTTTTAGCTCTAGTTAGCCTGGAGCTCATTAAGACTGTGATAGCATATAAAACACCATATCTTACCTATGTCTGTGTGTATGTATGTGTGTATCTATCATCTATCTATCTATGCACATGTGCCTATGGAAGCCAGAAGAGCTTCCATATTGAATCCATATGAATCCATGGATTCCATATTGAATCCCTTGGAGCTGGAGTTACAAGCAGCTATAAACTACCCTATATGGCTGCTGGGAACCAAACTTGGGTCCTCTGTAAAAAGAGCAGGTGTTCTCAACCATGGCAATGCTTAGCCGTCTATCCAGCCCCAAGACTCAGTTTTAAAAGGATAAAAAATGAGCTGGGTGTGATAGCTCATATCTTTAATCCCAGCATTGCAGAGAGTGAGGTAAAAATTGCTGTGAGCTCAAGGTCACTCTGAACTACAAAATAAAACCCTGTCTCAAAAAAAAAAAAAGAAAGAAAGAAGAAAATGAAAAAGAAAAGAAAGAACAAAAGCCAAATCACCACCAACAAAACAAACCTAAAATCAAACCAAACTCCCCCAAAAAAATCAAAACACA